TAGGTCGTGTCTTCACACTGTTGGAAAATCTGCCGGACGTCTCCAGAGTTCGCAACGGTTCGCCCGAAGAGAACATCGTGAACACACTTCCCGCCACGTTCATGCCTCTGCTCGCCTCTTTGTCTCCGGAGTATTACGATATCGCTTTAGGGAAGATTGTGGATTTCGTGTCTAACCATGTCATTCACCAGGCTCGTGACGCAATGGCTTTCATCTGCAACGCTCTATGCAAGGTTAACCCCGAGAAGGCCCTGAAGCGTTTCATCCCTGTCTTGACTGCAGCTATCCGCACTGAGATCGACGATAATGGTGCTGGGTCAACCCGAACCACAGGAACTGATGTTTTGCCTCGTGATCGCGGTCTGGTCTGGAATGTCAGTATGCTGAGCATGTGTGTGGTGCATGTCGGCAGCGCCGTCATTGGCCACCGCCAAGAACTGTTCGACATTGCAGTCTACATGCAACAGAACTGCCGTGGCATTCCTACAGTTCATATTTCCAACTTCATCCACCACCTTTTGCTCAACTTGACTGGGACCTACACTAATGATTTCTCACTCTATGAACCTTCAGTCAAAGCGAACGGCATCGAGCCCAAGCTCTGGAGTTACCAAGCCGATGTGAACAACCTCAACATCAACTGGCATGTGCCGACACGTCAGGAAATTGAATTTGCCGTCGACGTATTCAAAATACAAACAGAGACTGCTTTGAAGTCGCTATCTGCGCTGACTCATGAGACATCAAATGTCAAACGTGATGGAAGCGGCAAGGACTGGTCAGATGAGGTCACTCGGAACCTCGTGCTCCTGCGACTCGTGTTGTCTGGAGTTTCTGTCCTTTTTGACCCCAAAGCCGCATCAACCACAACACAAGGACCCCCGAACGGCACCTTCGGGGATGTCGAGATGGGGGATGATTCGGGTGTTTCAAATGATGCTGATAATGATGCCGACACTGTCCTGGACAGCTCTGATGATGCCATAATTAGACAGGCTTTCACCTACCCCACTGGGTACGCCCTCAAGGAAGGAGATCCGTTATATACTACCATCCATGAACTCCGTGAGCGAACTGGCTGGGTCTTGCATGATGTACACCGGTTCTTGAGCGATAATCAAGAGGATGATGTTCCTTGCTTTGGGGCTCTGTACTCTGCCTTCAGATCGTGGTTTGTTGATGTGGGTATTGAGAGGTCCGCTCATGTACTTGACCGAGTGACTCGCCTCTTGGCCGCGGACATCCATCCTTATAAGATGAGTGGCATGCGAAAAGATTACCCCAGAGCCCTTCTTGTGCGCCGGGCCAACGTGTATCACCTCCAACGCCTACGACATAACGCTTCCCCCCGTCCTCGGTCTAAGCTTGATGAAATTCTTCTCCTTGATATTGCCGAATCTTGTGTCTCGGTCTACACAGAAACGCGCCGCAATGCTCAAAACGCAGGCGAATCGGCACTTAAGGCTGTTTATGGAGGTAGACTGCTCGTCATTCCCCCTCTCCTCACGGCTCTGCAAAGAGGTGTCAAGGAAAATGACCATGCACGCATCAAGGGAGCACTCTACTCGCTGCTCCTGAGCAGTGTAGCCAAAACCGTCGGACGGCATTGGAAGTATGCGCCTGCTGTGATCAGAACCTTTATCGATGCCAGCGCCGTTGATAAGCCTTCCGTCCAGAAGATTTGCTCCACCGCAGTATTCCAGGTCATGGACTACGGTCGTGCGATGGAGCGAATGGCTATCCTCGATCAAGAAATTGTGGAGGCAATTGCTCCTGTTGAAGATGTCACCGAGCAGATCGAGAAAAAGCGCGCAGTTGTCAACAGCAAGCGCGTTGCTATCGAGAAAAAGAAAGCCGACCTGGCCGAAGAGCTTGTTAACCTGGCCCGGGTATCACATTGGAAGATTGCCAGTCGCGCTGCGACTATCGTCATCACTATGGGTCTCCGCTTTGACTATATCGCCAGCGATAACTTGATCGAACTGATGACGCTCGGGTCTATTGACGACCATCCTGGCTTGCGAGGCATGTACTCCCAGGCTCTCATCGCGCTGTTCACTATGATTGATGTGCGGGCCATTTGCACTCACGAGTACCAGAACTACATTCTTGGTCATCAGCGTTTCCCGTCAAAGATCAAGATTGCAACAAAGCCCTATGAGAAAGGATACACCCAGGAATATCTTTCTAGCTTTGCGAAGCCTGAGGCGGAGTACTACGTTGACCATGACTTCCCGGGCTGGCTTGTGTGGGGCAAGACTATGCCGGCTTACAAGTCCAATGTAGCGCGGGACATCGAGTATGATGAGGTTGAATGGAAAGTTCGCACCAAGATGGGCAAGCTGTTCACTCGCCAGTGGTTCTCCAAGTTCTTCATGTACTTGAAGCAAGAGCCACGGGACCCATCTGCTGACAAGTTCCGCATGTCCTGTGCCATGATGCTTCTCTACGCATTCGAGCTCATGATCCGGGATGGGTTGACGGCCGTCTCGTTTGAGGAGATTCAAGAAGAGATTAAGGATGTCTTTGAAGACGGCAGTGATAAGCACCAGCATCGTGCCACGGCTGAAATTCTTGGAGCTTTGATTTCCTCTGTGACAGATACAGGCGTGGAGAAGCGGACCATGGTCTGGGAGTATGCATTCCCTATTGTACGAAAAATCTTTACCGACGGCCTCACCCCTGAGAACTCTGGCTACTGGACGACATTCCTCCACATGATCCTTCAATGCCGCGATCCCCGCCGCGCTTGGCCATTGGTCGATTGGCTATCCAGCTTCCGTCTTGATATGACGACCAACGCAGCATTTAAGGAAAGCTCCAAGATCAACCTCCTGCACCAATGTATCATTGATTCTGGTTGGCACTACCAGCTCGAGAAACCCATTGTGGAAGATTTCCTTGGGCATTTGGACCATCCCTACAAGGGCGTCCGTGAGGCAATGGGTCAGACCCTTGCAACTATTTATCGTACAAGGTACCACGAGTCGTACCCTGATGTTCAGCATCTTCTCGAGGCCCAGAAATCCTCTTCATCTGTTGGAACATACCCCTATCCGCCTACCGAAGAGTTTACGAAGGTGGTTCGTGGAGTCTTCAGCCAAATCGAGGAATGGCGGAAGGCCAGAACCCCTGGCCAGCAAACACCCTCATCCTACACCTCGGGTAGCAAAACTGTTCTCCTTTGGCTGGACTCGACTTTGTCTTCTCATGAGTGTACCCAGCTTGTCCCGTTCTTCCCTGATGTCTTCACCGCACAGCTCCTGCACATGATGGATGTGAAGGAAGACCCAGAGCTTCAGTCCCTCGCATACCACGTTTTCCGTCATCTCCCCAACATCCCCTACCCAGCCGAGAAAAACTCCGAATTCATCCAATCTCTCATCCGCATCGGACAAACATCCCCATCATGGCACCAGCGCCTTCGTATCATGATCAACATCCAAATCATCTACTTCCGCCGTCTGTTCCTACTTGACCCCGCAGACCGCGACAAGCTCTTCGAGTGTATCGCCTCCATGCTTGAAGACCCCCAGCACGAAGTCCGTGCTGGCGCCTCGGCCACGCTATCCGGTATGGTCCGATGCTCGCCCGTCTTCCTGCGGGAAAAGATGGTCAGTCGCTTCCATGAACGCTTCACGAAGCTCCTGGTAGACAACCCTCTCCCTAAGAAACCGAAGAACTTCCGCTCAGGAATTGCCTCCTCTGCTGTGTCATCCGGTGCTGGAACCCCTACTCCCGAGCACAACCGCCTGATTATTGTTCGCCACGGTGCTGTGCTGGGTCTTGGCGCTTTGATCCAGGCCTTCCCCTACAACAGTCCTCCTCCCCACTGGATGCCGGAGGCATTGACCTCGCTCAGTATTCGCGCGGCTAATGATCCTGGCATCGTTGGTTCGAGCGTGAAGTCGATTATCAGCGAGTTCAAGAAGACTAGGCAAGATACTTGGCACATTGATGCAAAGGTTCGTGCTTATGCGTTTAACGTCAATTCTCCTTCAAAGCAAACGGCTAACGATTATCATAGGCTTTCACATCGGATCAGCTAGAGGACTTATCAGGTGTCCTATGGAAGAGCTACTTTGCATAGATGAAACTTGGATATTTGCCATTCTTGGGTTTCATTGGTTCTCTGGTCAGATGACTCCTAATAGCAATGTGATTAATGGCCGTTCGTATATATTCCTCCGTCTCCCCCCGTCAAGAGGTCTCTGATAGGGTGACCTATCTTTAGTACGAAAATGAAAGACCTATGCTATCTTTATTTGCTCTTAATATAGATACAGTAGAATTCTTTCTCCATTTGAGGTTACTGGTAGTTGGGATCAACCCGTTTGAGAAGAATAGACACTAGATAATATATAGTGTTCCGAAGCTCTATAATTCGCCTATGATAAGCTTCTTTTCTAATAAGCCGCAAGAAGTGAGTGTGACAAGTGAAAGAGCAAACGGACAATACTATTTACGCTTTATATACTCCACAAGTAGTTACATCAGGGAATGAGGTGGCATCCACTCAGATGGAATATTATGGACGTTCTCCTACTATGGTGGTTCCATTCAATGAAGCATGTCTAGTACTGCAGACAAGAGAATTTGATCTGATACTGTTGACGAAGTACTCTTATGTCCCACGGCGTGGTACATTGTACATTGTACAACAAGCACGCAGAATATCCAACATATAACTATTTTGGCTTGTACAACTGCAAGTCTATTAGGTTGGATTCAAGTGTGGTATTATGGTATTACCAATGAGTCGATGCAGTCAACACCGCGTAGTGATGACATCGTAGGCCTCTTAAACCCTATCTTGTAGATACTCAAACAGATTGCTTCACTTTTCCTCATTTCTCTCAGATATCCTTGACTTGTTCATACACTTGTTTCATTCTGTCACCTCTGCACTTCCCTATCCATCTTACCAACGCACCACGCACATCTGGCTTTCAAAGCCAAAGCATGCGATTATTCGCCCTGTTACTTGACTTTCACTCGCTATGAAATTCCTCACAAGAAACACCACGCCGTCCCCATTTTATACTACGCCTTCTTTCTCTCTATGGGATCGCCGATGGATCTGCTTGCGCTGGCTGGGATATCTTACCTTCCTAATTACTGCCATCCAGACTAGCTCTTTCCTCTTTGGGTACCCGGAGACAAATCCTGTCCAGGCTGTATATGCTTCGTTCCATCGCCCCGGGATTCTTCGGCCTGGTCAATATCGTGGGAATGTTGGTGTGGGGGACAAGATATCAGACGAGGACTCATTTGAGCCAGATGTGTTGGGCATGACACATGATCGGAGGTTTGTACCTATTCCAAGTTATGAGTGTACTGGTATAAGATCATGCTAAAAATAATCCTTACATTAGGGACAAGCGATTCTATCTAGGCGGTACCTTAACCCTAACCAGTATCGAATCTGCCAATGCCTCGCACCCAGTCCCACTTATCTACGACCCATACCCAGCATACAACAGCCGAGAATGGAAGAAGCAGTTCCATGGAAAGTTTCGACCCTGCCTTGGCCCTCGGGGTCGTTATCTCGATCGCAGGTCTGCAGAAGATATGATCCAAGTCTACAAGGGTCAACAAGCCGAGTTCCCAGCACCGCGATTTGGATCCTATGAGGCGTTAGATCTAGATGGAAACGTTTGCACCGACCGTTACTCCCGCTTTGGGGCATATGGATACGATGACGATGGCGAGGACGAGGTACCGGGCTTCACGCGCCCCCCGCAGTGCCGTGGTGCGAGGTTGATTGGCACAGGCTGCAAAACCTCTGCCTGGAAAGAAACGCAGATAGATACGAGTCAACTGAGACTGCCAACTCCTCAACTCAAAGTCCACTGGCCTTCGATCTTCCACAGGCTCCTACCAAACCATGGGGGTCACCTGTGAGTGCTTCAGGTGTGAAGCAGTTCCAACCTCGCTCGGCACTATTGATTCGGGCATGGTATGGGCTCAATTGGAAGCCTCACCATCGGGAATATATTCGGGCTTTGATTATGGAGCTTTCCTTGCATTCTGGTGGAGAATATCAGATCTATATCCTGTGTCATGTCAAGGAAAACGAGATGCCCATCTTTTCTGATATCAATACCATCAACCGGCTCAGGAATTCCATCCCCAAAGAATTTCGGAATATGGCTCTGTTCTTCAATAACAAACTCTTGGAAGCTTGGTATCCCAAGATAGAAGAACACAGGTAAATCAATCCTTTCCCATTAACTGATGTGACAGCTCTTACTAACCGCACTCACAGTCCTCTACTCCAACACCACCAACCTCTGCAAATATTCTCCCAGTTGTATCCCCACTTCGACTATTATTGGCAACTAGAAATGGATGGTCGGCACACAGGACACATCTACCACTTCCTAGACCGAGCAATTTCATTCGCACGCCAACAACCACGCAAATACCTCTGGGAACGCAACGCCTACTTCTACACCCCCGGCGCACACGGCAACTGGAGCCAATTCACGCAAATGGTGGACGAAAGCCTGGCTGACAAGTCCAACCGCACAATCTGGGGTCCGGTATCCCGCACAGGGATTCGGCCACTGGGCCCGGAGCTGCCAGTCCCATACCCAGACCAAGACAACTACACCTGGGGCGTAGGTGAAGAAGCCGACTTCATAACGTTCCTCCCAATCTTCAACCCACAAGACACGCAGTGGACATTCCCGGACAAGGTCTGGAACTTCAGATACGGCGAGGGCACACCACGCCGCGCTGCGGTCATCACAATGGGCCGGTACTCCAAGCGCCTGCTGGATCTGATCCACCACGCGCAGGCGACGAAGGGTCTTGGCCTTGCATCGGAGATGACAGGTGCGTCGTGGGCTCTGTTTCATGGCCTTAAGGCTGTGCATGTTCCACACCCTATCTATGCGGATGGCCAGTGGACACCGAAGGAACTGGCGCGCATCTACAACCCCGGTCCGCCGGAGAATGTTAATGGGGGTCCTGATAGTATTTGGAATTTTGATCATATCTTTGATCATATTATGTACCGGCTCTCGTATATGTTTACGACGCATAGTGCGGAGGACTTGTACAGACGTTGGCTGGGGTTCAGGACTGCGGAGAATGAGGGTGGGAAAACGGTGAGTATATTGTCTTATACTGTTTTTGGTTCTTTTGAGATGGGAACAATTGACTAATCTATCTATAGATATCTGAGGATCGCTATGGTCGGCATTGCTTCCCATCTATGTTTCTTCATACAATCAAGAACACAGCTGAAGGGATGGGCCCAGACAGGGCTGTTCCCTGATCCATATCCATTTGGGTTTTTTTAACATCTCAGTTTCCTTTTGCTTGGAGTTATCTGGCGTTGAGGTAGAATGGGGGAACATATGGTTTGCGTCAATATCTATTTTAGAGGAATTTGAAGCCTTAAAATACCATTTGCATTATTATAGAGAAATATATTGCAAGGAGAGTTCATTTGAGACACAAAGTTATCTGATTGAGCTCTATTAAGCAAATCGTAGAATTGCACAAAAACCAAATTCATCGCTGTATACATAAAGGAAGAGTAGTAAAAAGAAAAAGCCATCAAAAACAGGCCAGAATGCAGGGAAAATGGCAACCTATGTACGTGAATGGAACAACCTGAGAAACCGAGAGCAATTTACCATTCATATGCCCTGTGAATTTTGATAATCCCCGTCCCAAAAATGAAAGTAGTCCATCTCATAGCATCATTAAGAACAGGGGAGTTCCTCTACCTCTCTATCCCCTGGCATTATACTTCTCATTGAAAGCATTGACCGCTGGAAAAAAGAAGTTGGTTAGCATATGACAGTATGTAGCATGATCTGGGTAACCACTTACCAACAGCAATTTGTCTATACAGCCAGTTCCGTGAGCTTTCGTCTTGAACAGGTATGAAGGGTCCGTTTGCACCACCCTTCAACGTGATACTCATTCCCGTGCGCTCCTTGGAGATGGTTTGGATATCCGTGAGACGGATATCCCACTCAGTAGACAGCTTCTTCGTGCGCACTAGCATGATACGTGCGTACGTCAACAAGACCAGCATGTCTCGACCAGGAAGCTCTAGGTGGGCAATGTAGTCCTCGTTGAAGTATTTGCCGTCGTCCGTGGTCTTCAGCCAAAACTGTCCGAGAGCCTCGCGCTGCGAGTACGGGCGCACAATGCCATCAGTACCAATAAAGCGAGTGAGTCGAACACGATCGAGACCTTCGGCATCGAAAACGGTAGTGGTGTTGCGAACACCTTCTGCCAGATCTAGAAGAGAATTGTTAGTCATGAATACCAGAGAGAGAGAATGGTTCAACTTACTGGAGGCAAGATCGAATGCACCGATTGCTGGCTTGGTAGCCAATCCAAGAACACCCTTTCCAACACCCTTGAAGAATCCTTGGATACCTTCTTTCTCGGCACCTTGCAGTGGATGACGTGCCAATCCACCGATACCGCTTGCTAGACTAGTTGCAAATGCATTGCCACCAGCCGTGATTCCATATAGCGCGTGCTTGGGGCGGTTGCGCACCTTGGACATCCGGCGCTGGGTTTGGAACTCCTTATCAAGAGTGGCGGCGGCGAGACCCTTGGACATACTTCCAGTGAGCTTGGCCATACTATCCGAGAATCCAAAGACGGACTTCTTGACGAAGCTTGTGGCACCTTTTGCGATACCCATACCAAGCTCTTGGGGACGGTCGGTCATGACCAGACCTTGATATGGCTCATAGAAGATGGCGGCGACACCAGAGCTGACATTATTGAACAAACCAACAGGGTTGCCCAAGAAGTCAGCCGAACCGAGAATGATATGGATCTGGCGCAAGAATTCTTGGGTATAGTGTGCCCGGATATTGCCGACCAGGCTGGGGAAAGAGACACGGGCATTCTCGAGCATAAGAGCATTGAGTCGAACAGGCGCATCATTAACATTACCCATTGACATTGTCATGACGTTAACAAAGAACATCAACGGGTTGGAGGGTTGCATAGCATCCTCTACATTGACACGCTCGGTACGCATGAAAGAGATATCCATCTGCATGGGCTGGAGATGAAGGAGCTCGAAGTACACATCCTGGCCGTTGTCTGCCTGTTGCGGCTCTGGAATGTTGAGGTCTTCATCACATAGTTTGCCTTCTTGTTCCTCTGCCCACGAAGCACCCGGAATCTTGACAAAGTCAAGCATGGCAAAGACAAAGTCCTCATCCAATTCGAGTGTCATTTGCTGCAATAGCAAGGTCGCGTACTTGATATAGAGAACACCGTACGAGTCGTCCTTGACCCGTGTAACCATTGCATGGAAGATCGGGTGTGCTTCCATCTCCTTGCCAGTCTTCGGAACAACACTGGGGTAAAGCAAGATAGGGAAAATGCCACCATAGAGTTGATTATCGATCTGGATCCACTTGATTGTAGTGTTCAGAGTCTGGTACAATACCGACTCCCTGAACTTGATCTCAATCTCGCGGAATGTGAGATATAACAGCTCCTTCAGGTTCTGGTTAATCAATGAGATTCCAATGCCACCGAGGCGAAGTTGGGCCTTGAAGTTGACGTCCGAATTCATTTCCTTGACCTCGAAACCAGTGTTCGTGCCGGTCTGGGAGGGTTGTCCTCTTTGTTGCTTGTACATGCTCTTCGACGGTTTGAAGTTGGACAGCACGAGAGTCTGAGTGGGGCCATCAGCAGCAATGCTGATGTCAATGATCTTCTGGTGTCCGCCAGGCTGCGAAGGTGGGATCCGCATTGGGATCAGGTTTCCTATCTCAGCAAGCTTGATATGGCGTTCTTTGCCCTGGCAGGTCAACACGAGCGACTTGTTCTTCGTCGCCGGGTAGTCCCATGCATACGGCATGATACTCCGCGCGGGGATCCGATACCGGATCGGCCTCCAGCCGCTAGTCTGGTCGTCTTCATCGTCTTCCACATTTGGATTGGCTTGGTAGAAAATGAACTCCAAATCGCTTTCGTTACGCATGGAGAACGGCCAATTGCGAGACTCGACGCTGAAGTGCAAGAAAAGAGTTGCTCCTTCCAAGATGATATCAACCTTGATCAGCTTCTGCCGCTGATTCGCCTTGGCCAATTTAACGTGCACAGTTCCAACATCTGCGATGTTGAACGGAGAAGACCATTGATTGTTGACGCCCGGGAAGCATAGGCACAACTGTTTCTCTTGTACTTGGCGAAGGAAATGGAGCGGTACCAACTGCCCGTTTTGAACCTGGAGTACGTTGGACGAGCCTGGCTCGCGCACTAGAAGATCTTCGCTGAGCTTGCTTTTGAGAATGAAACGTGGAGCAAGAGTGACCACCTTGGTCAACTTATACTTGCCCTCACCTTCGGCGACAGACACTCCGGAGTGGAACTCAGATCTGCCTTGACGATCGGGGAAGATGACCTCAAATGTACTGCCAATAGCCTCGAAACTCTGCGGCTTGCTCCATGCAGAATCGCTGACCTTTAAGATAGATCGGTTTCGTTGATCCTCGTTGGCATAAGAGTACATGTATGGGAGTGCACGGCCCTCATCTCTTGGATCGGCTCTGAGTCCTTGGCCAGCAGCATTTCTCGCAGACTGAAGGAATGCTTTGCTCTGAATGTCCATGGGAAGGCCAGTCTTGTTCAAGATAAGGTATGGACTGTACACAGAGACCTTGAAAGCACCACCGCTGTTAGGAATGTTGAAGTAATGGAGCTGCAACTTGAGTTGAAGACCCCGCTCATCCTTCAGAGACAAGGTATGCTCTCTGCGATAGTCCTGAGCATTGCCGTTGACGATAGCAAACTCGCTCTGGCGGAAGACCGTGTCTTGCAGATCAATGCTAAGCAACAGCAAGTGGGACAGCTCCACGACGTGGACGGGACTGACACCCCCCTTCCTCAGGAAGTTCGTCCAATCCTTCTTGGTGTTCTTGTCATAGATGCGGTACTTGAAATCGTAGGGCAAGAGGTTCTGAATCTCCACGGGAGCGAAGATTCGGATTCTCATGTAGGGATACACGCTCGTAAGCGAATCTTTGCTATCGTATGTTGCGTTGACTTGGAAGTAGAAGGGAGGAGACTGCTGTCCGCTTTCGCTGACGCACTTGACAGTGCGCGTGGGTCGCTTGATAAGGTCCTTCCAGAACAGTCGCTCACCTGACCAGTCATATCCGAAACCCTGATCGGGACGGACAACAATAGAATGAAGATATGCTGAGCCGACAGGTGCCGGTCGTGCATCGCCAGGCAAAATCTTCTCGATCTTCAACAAGTGGCCTTCTCCGGGGCTGAAAATGCCCATTTCCACAGGAATTTGGGTGTTGTTCTCGATAAGAAGTGGCGAGCGGAATGTGATGTACTTCACATTATCGGGTCCCAGCTTGACTTCCACGAGTAGCCGGTGAAGAACATTTTCTTGCTTCGGCTTCAGAGCGTAGATAGTCTCGCCCTCCCGCACAACAGGAATGCGGCTGACACTATCAAAGCCACTGCCTTCCAATTTGACACCAACCACTCCACCGTGGCCTTCTGGTGTCAGCGTTTCACGGACAGCGGTAGAATCTTCAAATCGCCATGGGGATTCTTCGCCATCACTAAGTTTCGCCGCCGGGCCTTCATCTCCTGCGCTGACATCGGCCCAGACTCTGAGATCAAATCCAGTATAGTTGCGGATTCTGTATGGGGCATCAGCGCCTCTTGGCTTGGAAAGAACATCCTCTTCCGTAGAGAGGAACTGGAAGGATTTGGATGCGAGTGCAATCGTGGCAGATGTTACGGTAAGCTCCATCGTCTTGTGCGAATACACATCGAAAGAGAAAACATCCGGGTTGATCTCCTTTGCCAGGTGGAATCCCAACTGCCAGGGCTCGATCAGCGGCTCCCAGGCCGACTTCGAGAAGTTGTACACATTCAAGAACGTTTCGAAATTGGTATCGGCATTCAGTGTTGATGACCAGTCGCGCACATCAACGTTGAATTTCTTGACGCTCCAATCGAGCAAAGGTAGATCGTGTAGGTCGCCAATAAGAATGACTCTAACTCCGTCGATCTTGGCAGACATCTCTTCGCGCTTGAGGAGAACTGAGCTTTGTGTCGTAATTGTCTTATCCAGGTTTGCAACGCCTTGACTCAGGCGACGGGCTCTCTTAGCAATAGTAGAGGACGTCTTGCTGGCAGAACGCGCTCTGGTTGTTTTAGCATCCGTGATTTTCTTCGCCTCTCCGCTCTCAATCTGCTGGGAATTCTGGGCCCTCATTTCAGAGGCCTTGTTGACAATCTGGATTGCCATCAGGATAT